GGCCAATATGCATATCAGCTGATTTATAGGATCAGCTGATTTACAGGATCAGCTGATTTACAGGATCAGCCGTTCCCTCCTCCGCTCATTTAGAGGTTATGTTTCCCTACAATCGTAAACGCATTAGTTGACCAAATAACTCGATAGGTCGATGTTTGTAAAATCGTTAGGTAATCCCGGGAGTTGAGCCCAACCCTTTTGAATGATCACCCCCTCCCCCTCCCCCTTGCATCATCCATCCTCGTCGTCCGCTGAGATATTTTCGTCCGCCTTTGGCCGAGCTGGCCTAGCCAGGGATTTGCCGCTTGCCGACCACTACTTGTCCCTTCAGGGAGGGCTTTAAACCTCTCTCTGAATTTATCATAGTTTTCATCCTGGTGAAGCTTATGGGAGGGGTTTCAGTAAAAGAAAGCCTGAAAAACTCTCGGTAACTTAAATATAATATAACACTAAAATTGAATGAATTAGAAAAGTTATAGAACAAAATGTCATAAGCCCACAGGAATGACGCATTATCTTTAAAAAAAAATGTATAATTTAATATCACAATTGACTAAATAATGCAAGTTATAAACATTTCTGCCTTAACTCGTTTTTACCTTAAATGTAATTATTTGAAAATATTTTAAAACTTTATAAGGAAATCTTTAACATTAAATTTCAGACACATGATCACGAAGATTATGATCCTTAATATCAACAAGCTAATAACCGTTCTTCAAAATCCTTTAAAAATGTTATTGTAATCTTTCATTAGTATTTAACGCTGGAAAACATACTGGTACAGATGAAATATTACTTAATATAATGGAAATAGAACATCCATATCTACGCCCATTATTATGAACTGATGAATAAATAATTACAGGGTTTCTATCAGATTTCCACTCTCTTACGTGCAATAATTAAACGCACCACTATGTCTGGTATGCGACGAGGCAACAAAAGTGTATTTTAAGCGTGGGTGAGGGATGATGTAGAAATACCCTCCCCTACAAGGGGGCCGCGACTGACACCCCTGCCTACAAATATACGATGCCAAGCTCCTTCTACCCCTGCCTTCTAACCACTCACTGCAACACATGATTCACCATTTGAACGTTTCTACGTTACTTAATTACTTTATTATGTAACTTGAAATAAAATTGTTTGTATTTTATATTTTGAAGTTACGTTTTCAATCGATAATATCTTTAGATTATCATTTAAATGGTTTTAAGGAGTTTTTACGTAGAATGTGGTCAATTTTTAAATAGTGAAGATTGTAGATAAATTTATATTATATTTTTTTAACAGTACAATTGGACCGTTTTAGTTACTGATTTATTTTTGCGGGGTTCCGAAAGAGTTTAGGTTTTCATACCTGCTCTGTGTTTCCTTTTTTACTGTCAACGATTTTACCCTTACTGATTTAAAGCTCTATAGCTACAATCTGCTTTGACTAATCCATGTGCTTTATACTTTAGTGGCATATTTCTGACACAGATCACTTCTTAGTAATTTATAAAGTCTATTGGTATCAGCAGTTGGCAAGTTTATGGCAGAGTAGGTGATACCAAGTATAAAATATAATAATAGAACATAATCCTCGTAGGTCTTCGTATGTAATTTTGGATACTTCTCTCGGAAATACGTATAAATTGTACAAAAAAGGAAATATATATTTTTAAAATCGTTTAAAATTAAGATAATGTATTTCGTAACAGCTTCTACTTTCGTATAAAATATAGTTGAACTCATATTAATACTATCAAAATATGTAGTAGAGTAATTTTATTTTGAATAATTGATTAAAATAGTATGCTAGACTATACTTAAACAATTTAAGTAAGAAGGTAAAAAAATAAAAATTTTAAATATTTCGTTTCAAATCACAATTGCAACCACAATGAGACTATTTCATTTGTGTAATTGCAAAAAGCGAGAAAACCCACAAAGAAGGAAAGGAGGGAGATAAATTCAGAGAGAGGTTTAAAGCCCTCCCTGAAGGGACAAGAAGTGGTCGGCAAGCGGCAAATCCCTGGCTAGGCCAGCTCGGCCAAAGGCGGACGAAAATATCTCAGCGGACGACGAGGATGGATGATGCAGGGGGGGGGGAGGGGGGTGATCATTCAAAAGGGTTGGGCTCAACTCCCGGGATTACCTAACGATTTTACAAACATCGACCTATCGAGTTATTTGGTCAACTAATGCGTTTACGATTGTAGGGAAACATAACCTCTAAATGAGTGGAAGAGGGAACAGCTGATCCTGTAAATCAGCTGATCCTATAAATCAGCTGATATGCATATTGGGATGTGAGTCTGTTGTGGGGTGTTTTCTCGGTGAAAATTCTTAAGTCTTTGTTATTTTTTTGTATTGCAATATTAGGTTGTGTTGAATAATATGTGTGTTTGTCAATTTACTTAGGAGGAGTACTCAATGTCAATAACCAAACGAGGTTGAAATATATATTAACTTAACCCAAATATTGCCTTAAATTTAGGACAAATTCATTAATTTTTCAATTATCGTGCTATATTTAATCGAAACTTTAACACTTTAATACACATTTATTTTTAATCACGCTATATTAACTTACCTTATTATTGAAACCCATCTTATCAACCTTTAATTATTCTTGATACACCATTGAATACCGATAACACATACAGAAACTAGAGTGTTTCATGTATACCTTTATGCACCGGTCTATTCGATTAAACTGAAAGTAGAAGTGGCACCTTTTATACTTTTTTGGGGGGAACGAAGATTGAAAATCTATCTGTGTGGTAAAATAATTTAAACAAGAGTATTCTATAATGAACTTGTTGTATAACCCATAACCAGTTACTGCCCTAATATTGAGTTAATCCTGGCATTATACAATAAATACCCCCGCCGCAGCAAACCTGCAGACTAAGCGAATTTCCATTTGACTGATTGGATTTACACTGAAATGTCTAGTTAAAAATATAACATTTATTCTTGATTTAAATAGAATGAGTTTAACAAGTACTTAGGTTTGCTGCATCAGGGAGGGTAAAACTGTTTTTTTTTTTTTTTGTAAAATGTGAATAGTTAGTAAGAAATGAAAACATTTTCCAAATTTGATCAAAATATGTTCACAAACAAGCAAACTACAACATTTTACTTATTCTCCATAAGAATAACATGGGAATTTTAAATTTACAATTTTTTTGAATTTTCTCCGTAACCATTAGGCGCATAATAACGCTTCAATATACTAAATTGTTTGTTTTTTTAAGCTCTACAAAATGGTTTGGAAAGAAATTGCTAAATTTTATGTTTTTTGGGTCAAAAATGGGAAAAACCTATTTTTACCCCATAAAACCCCCCGTAAACCCCCGTTCCCATGGTCCGATCATGCTGGATAGCGAACTCGTTCAAATAAACGTACGTTTACACGTTTGTACCAAATTTCATCAAAATCGGATCATTTTTGCTCGAGTTATCGTGCTGACTGACACATATATATATAAATATATATATATATATAAATATATATATATGAATTTGAGCGGATGGTGTTTTTGGCCTCTAGGGACCTCAAAACGAAAAAAAATCGGTCCCGCGTCCAGGTCTTACCATGAGTACTACGGTAATAGCTTATTCCCTATATGGGAAATTCGCTAAAAACATAACAGTTTATTTTACAGCCTTATTCCATTTGACGAAATTTACCTGCATCTTCAGTACAAATCTTTCATCATTTAAAAAATCCAAACAATACAACTTTGACTGTAGACAAATTCGAGAAAACCTTGTTTGTCAACAAAATCATAACACCACACCAAATTTTCGTTTACAGCTCTGAGACTTTTCAAACAATGTGAACGATAACGCTTACATAATACTCAGGTTCCATGTGGGAAATAGTGAAGAGACTTACAAGAAAGGCAGCGGTAGCTTAGATGGGGTGGTACGACGCGGGTTGGAATTAGTGCGTGTGGGGTTCTCTAGGGTAGGCGGGGGAGCAGAGCGGGGTTGTCAAAGAGATACACCCGGGGAGCACCAACATTGTCCCGTACCTCGCATTCATCTGCTGCCAAGCCCTGTAATATGTAGACGAGCCCAGCAGGGTCGGACGTGAAATAACCACAGTAATGAAATTTCGTCACAACGTTTGAGGATGGATTTTTAAAGTATTAGACAGTTTATTGTATTTGGTATTGTCCCACTCAGTAAATTAGTTAACCAATTCAAAGAGGAATGCCCTAAATAATTACTCTCACTCATTGAGAACGTAGATATGTTTCGTCATGATTTGATCTGTAAAATTATACAAACATCTGATGATATTTTATAATAACGTCAATTTGATTATCTTAACACAAAATAGTGTAGAGAACTACACAAATAAGAGTGTCTAACCTCAATTCTGTGGATTTAAATATATAAATGTGACATACACCCGCAGCCTCTATAGAAGGACGCACTCATCACATTCAAACATATTCATATTCAAGCAAACGACCTAGACTCCGTATAGAACAACTGACTCATCAAGCACGTCATTAATCAATAATTTTAACTCCCGTAAAGTGGCCTTACTGAAAACTTTACCTTCAGATCTGAAAGAGCCTTTAGAGACCGTAACATTTTTATATCTTACTTAAACTACATACATAATTACAAACGTTCTAAATTGGCACTTTCTTACCAAGCCTAGACACAAAAATTGAACATTGAAGCCTTTACTCATGGGGTAAATTTTTACACCCCAATTCAATTATGGAAAATGTTGCCCCGTAAAGTCTTTACAGCATAATTCTACATTTCAAATAGTTTTCCAAAAACTCCGACCCGGGGCCACAACTCTATCAATTGGCGTAGGGAGCGGCCGTGCGGGTGCGGGTTGGAGCGCCGGAGTTTTTGACGGCTATTGTTGATTATCACCGCTCCCACACGTTATCGGTGCCTCCCCCCCCCGCCCCCTGCGGCCCACCACCTCCGCCCAGCGCCGGTAGTGACAGTAGTCAGTACACTCCAGACGTCGGACCCGCTCGCTCCGCCGTGACGTCACTAGTGTGGTGAGGACCATGGGTCTAGGTCTAGGGTAGGACGTCATCGCACCTTCCGACCATGTCCGCCAAGAGGAAACTGGGCGCCATGCCGATCAAAGTTAGTGTCAGTGTCGCATGTTAGTGTTGTGATAAGGGTTATTGATAAAGGTTATCAGTGATTCATTGTTTGGTAGACGTCTGTAGAAATTAGTAAGTTAGAACTTAATTAGTAAATCTCAAAACAATTAACTATATTTGCATACCTAGAAAATTAAATACAGTTTTGAGTTTGTAAACAATTTTATAAAAGTAAATTATACTGTATTTGAAGTTCATGATTTCGAAGAATAATTTTAATATTTTAAGTAAAACTAAAGGACTTTTCTCATTCCTAAGTGTTTCAACATTTTCGAAGGCTTCGGATTGATAAATGTAGTTGTGTTTTGTTTTGGTTTCCAATATTTTTTTCTGTCACAATTTTGTTCTGTGGTGTATATTGTTTTGGGGTATGTGATATGTTTATGTACATCATAGGCAAGGGTTTGCACCAGTTATGTTAGGCTCTTTCTAGCAAAATTAAAATGTTACTCGAACACGGGAGGAGTTTGTTTTAGCGTCACACCACTTAGGTTAGGTTAGATAGGCTAATCAGTAAAAGGTTACTTAAAAAGGTAGGTTTTTGAAAGGGTTACACAACTTAAGGTTAGGTTGGATTGACGAATTAGGTGAATTAAACTTGAAAACTGGAGGAGTTTATTGCCTTCTGAAACGAGATAGGAAATACAGTATTTACAAGTTACTATCAGATTATATTTTTCCATTATCCCTATACCCACAGCGTTAATTTTCTGTTTAATAAAACGTATGTACTTAAATACTATAAATTCAAAAAATACGCCAGAAAGTTGCACATGATCTATACTGGGTTTTGACTCTGATGCAAGAGGGGTGTTTATTGAAAGTTGCCTTTATATTAATTATTGCTGATACATTATACATTACTTGATGCAATACCCTATCTATTTGTTTTTCGTGGTAAATTTATTCGATTTAACTTGCTTAGGCTATTGTTTTTTATTAAACAAATAGTACGATTTCGATTTCCAAACTCTTCTACCTGGTAGCAATTGATTCTCATGCTAAACAAATCTAAGAAACTGCAAAAGATTCCAAATTAATGATTAGTTATCTAATTGGGACCCCAAAGGTTACTGATAAGGTAAACTCCGTATATGGTAAGATGTTAATCAGTTAAATTAATCATTCCTTATCGTCAAAACTTACACGCCTCAACGATATCGTTACAGTTATCATAATTACAATTTGATAATATTTGGAGGTGAATCATACGTACGAGATAATTAACTAGTGTATACTTTGATAATAAATCAGTGGTTAGAAAAAATATGGTGTTTGCAAATTTTTACGAGTAAATCAACCTACAAAACGTGAATGTGTTAACCTTTAATGAAAGTGGCATTTCGCCCATTTTTAAAGAAATAGTTCATAAAAGCAACGCAAAGAGTCAGTGATGGGTGAAAAGTCGATTTCCACAATTTCCACGTCACCCTTTTCACAGTTAGTGGTTAGTACTTCATGCGGGTATTTTGCGATAATCGGGAAAGCGAACTTGTCCACTATGTCCACTTATGCTGGTTATATTTTACCCCGTGTAACTGTGCAGTCTATTTACAACAAAAAACTGTAAAACATACAAACTCGGTATACAAATAAACCATAAATCGTTTGACCAAATAAAGTTTCATGTATAAAAAATCACTATTTTGAAGAGAGAAACCGAAAAATAATAGGATACGTTTTCCGTTACATGGCGATTTGAAAGTTATGATTGGGACGTGTAATAAGACGAGCTAAACACGAAAACGTCGATTATAATGAATCACAATACACTACTTATTGTTTTACATCACTAAACAATATCGAACTCAGTGAATTTATAATCTAGAGACTGAAATAAAGGGTTAATGATTGGAAAAAAACCCAGAAAAGCGTGTAAACGTCATAAATTTCCGAAGACAACCTTTTTATAAATTGCTTCTAAATAAAGTGATCAGAAACGGGTATGAGTGAAAATTCCAATATTTTGTAGAGACCTGAGTTAGTTCTAAAATATTCGATTAGGAGTGCGACAAATTCGATGAGTCCACTACAATTCTGATGACACAACCGGTAACCGTCTGAGTGATTAATTTATAGTCTAAATCTATTCAATACTACGGCAGACAGACAGTGGTACAGAGTTTAATAAATAAGATTTTAGGCCGGGGTAGTATCTGTTACATCGGAAAATTTGCTCATGGGGTTTACGGTGAGTATAACATATTTAAGATTAAATCCAAAACTTTTTAAAAGAAATCTGGGACGGATAACAGTTAAATTTCAATTACTTTAGTTTTTAATAAGATAAACCTCCGTTATTTATCAGCAACAGCTTATAAATTATAATACAAGTGTTTTCTTAAATAAAATAATAGTTTTTGTGTGGGTACCTGCTACCATTGGCTATGTATTAATATTCAAAGTGCTATATACTAGATCTGTGGTTTATTTAAGGAAAAATTATTTTATCTTGTCACTGTACGAAAGTTAAATCTCCAATTCCAATAAGGTTTTGTGATATTATGTCTGATTATGCTAGCATAATTTGGCTTTGGCAAGAGCCCCCATGAAATTAAAAATTCATTAAGTATGGGTGATGTTTTTATTTTAAATTTCATACTCCAATAAGGTGTTTACACTTTAAATTGAAACTTCCCTTGTGATTTTCTCCTTTAATATGATTTTATAAATGGGGTTAACATTTAAAAATAAAGATTATCTACTTGAATTTACCTTGTTTCCATTTTCAAAATATTTGCAATGCTCGTGGTGAGTCACACATGTAATGTGTTTAAAATAACTAGACAGGAAAATGTATTGTTTTTATTTACTCAGATTGTGGTAGCCTTAAATACGTATATACGTACTAGTTATTCCCAGTAAAATATCTTACTAAACGGTCGTGAGACCGATTTTAACTCTGTTAAAAAATGTTCGCATTATCCTAAATTTCTCAACTTTGAGGGGATATTGTGGTGCTGCGGGGTAATTTCTAAATAATCAGTTACTCAAATTTACCTCGTTTAACGCATGGCCGTTCCAAAAGCGGGAACAACCAACGTTTGTGTTTTTCACCGCCTTCTTTGTCGCGTGTTTGTCCAAGGTTCACAGGAAACCCTGTGTGTTTTACATTAGTATGGACGGGTGAGCAGTGGATAAAAACACCGCCACTCTTGACCCCGATCACACACAGCCCCTCTGTCTGTCTGTCTGTCTGTGAGGCTGCACCGCCGCAAACGTCCGTGGGTGACGAAGGAAAGATCGGTGGAATCAAAATTTCAAAAGTAATCAGCCTTTAAACAATTTTAGGCTTTGTCGTCTACCAAAATAAAAATTGGACACTTCAGAGTGGTTGTACAGTGGGTGATTTTATTTAACATGAAGATTAACGTTGACGATAGTTGAATCGAAATCATCTGGAGAAAGACGAAAAAATCACCTGGATTTTTGGAAAAATAGCTTTAGGATTGTTCAAAACTTACAGCTATTTTTGTTCATTACGCCATTACTGTAACTAAATACATACATTTGACATTCGAAATCGCCCTAAGAAGGTATCAGAAGTACAATTAGAAGGCTACCATGTGATAATAGAAATAACGCTACCTTTTAAGTGGCTGAAACTAGACAAAGTATAGTTGTACTTGAAAATCGGCTTTGTTATAAGTATTTCAACTATAAATAATCAGGATGTTAGTAAAATTGTTCATTATAAACTAATCCTTTCTTCCATATGAAACAACACACTGTCGTGATTGGTATTGTACGGTATTGATTTAGATTACTTTGGATATATAAATCAGGCAATGACCTAATTTATTCATTAGGAGAATGGAAAAAGAGGCTTGTCTTTTAATCCATCTGTACACTTCGCAATGATAGTACTTAATTAGCTGCTGGACACAGGCTTTACAATTAAAATTTTTGAAACGCTTATTCTTAACACATCGTGTCCTGCAAAATCAGTAACGAGATTTTTGAATCATTGAATTTAGAAAGATTCAATATCTATATAATTAATACGCTACATGAAACTTTGTCGGATGAACTCCTTCGCCATTTCTTAACCGATTTTATCCCTTGACGTCTCATTGAAAGAGCGTGTCGTGTAGATTTGCAAACTGGCTTTACATTTTTGAAAAAGTCCCTTGGGCTCTGCCCCAGTGGCTTTGAAAGTTCCCATGTTATCCTTACGAAGAACATAATTGTTTACATTTTGATCAGCTGTATAATTTAATTGCTGTTATTTATTTTCCAATTCAACGAAACGCATAGGTTACATTTACTGATTTGGTTGAAATTAAATATTTGCTACTTTAATTTACATTCGTACTTTATTCCGATGTAAAAAATCGAGAAAGCCTGGGCAATTTGATATATTTTACCAAAAAAGAAAAATGAATTGACAGGGTACTGTATTTCTTGAGCAATAATTGAAAGAACCGATTTTTTACCATGGAAACATAGGAGTCATAGAACACCACCAAGTAGAAAAAATAGAGATTAAAAAAAACCATTTACTATCGTTATCATCCTAAATAATGAAGAGCACTTACAATATGAAGATTCCCACAAACAATGAACAGGGATGTTAGCCAAAGTGTTACTATTTTGTAGTAAACACTGACTTAACTTTATGATGATTGGCAAAGGAAAACACTCTAGGGCTGAATTAAACTGGTACGGCAAGGACATTAAATATATGTTTTCATAAAAGTCAAGTGATTTTAAAATAATATGACTACATCCAAGAAACCTTAATAAAAACTTTCACTGAAGGATTTGCATTATTCACATTTAAGGGAAACAAAAAAACCATCTGAACGACATTTGGCCTTTCAATTCTGCATTTTTTCAGGTAAATATAACTTACGTTATAACAGTAACTAGGTAGCCAAATTAATGCCAATTGAAGCAAATAAAATTATGACAGAGAGGTTATGCAGAAAATCAGGCAGTTCTTAAGTAATGTAAACAAAATGTCATCGCTATAAAAAATTACTGAAATTTGTAAACATACTAGCGACAACAGGCATACTATGCAGACTACATTATCATTGACGAAGATCAACCTGGACCACCTAATGCGGCTATAAGTGGGAAAGATATGTAGAATATACTAAAAAACCAGATCAGCTTTTGAAAAATGATCAAATATTTACTTGAAATGTTGATTATATGTCACTGTTAGTCACGTAATCTATGAGCTGAGTCTTTTAAACCCATCGGAAATTATGACTTTTATTCGTTTTTAAATAAGTTAATTATTTGTTTTTAAATACTGTAACTACTTTACTTCTTTGCAATTGCTCGATTTCGAGCAACATGTACACTAGTATAGGATGAATTTGATTTTGTATAGTATATATGTCTTAACAAAATTGATAAATGCCTCTTGACTTACAAAAGTGTGAAGGAGTATAAAACGTGTTTTAATTGCAAGGAAACACACAAACTCACGTAGCGTACTAACTGGATATAAAGTAATGTATATTTTGCTTACACCTAATACGTAGATTTTAAGCATAATTATTTTAGTGTTTTAAGTTTTGTTTGATTTTCCAATGGTATTATTTAATTGTAAAGTGACATTTTTCAAGTGTTTGACGCTAAGATCGTGATTTCCAGGTTTCCGCTGAAGTATGTGGGTCTTCTCAATCTTGTATGTATGTTAAGTGTGCAATACTTTTACTAACAACTGGCTAAAGTTTGTAATAACATGTTTGTTTTGTGTTGTTAAATAGATGTGGCGTTAACCATCAAGCGATTTAAAGTAACTTAAGTATATAAAGTTGAAGTTAAAGTGATTCTAAATTGAAGTACCATGGAAAGATTTTTTTATGTTTGTTGGATATTGATAAGTTGAGACATTTACTTGTGTAAGGTCTCAAGGTACGAAGAGAGATATGAAATAATGTCCAACAAATATTTCACTTATATTAATTTATAGGTTCCCATAACTATATCAACTGTTTTAAAATGTATTGTTGTCAATAAAATTATTTACCACCAATATATAGGCTACATATTTCAAACTCAATTTCAATTCATTTATAGTTGCTCTCGTACTAAGAAAATAAATGCTGAATAAACCTAATAGTAGTCCTACTATAAACAATATTAATTAACATTTTACCAAAGTGTTAATTTAAATGCAAACAAGTCAAAACAATATTGATAGAAATTTATTAAAAATAATTTATCACTAAATAACATTATTTACAAAAAAAAGTGCTGATTAAACATTGTAAGTACTAAATTATGATTTATTCGTTTCAAATACTGCCTCAAAAGTTTTCAAATTTAATATAGTCGTTCGGTGGACTAAGACAATTAAATTATTCTCTACTTGTTGCTTAAGTGGGAGGACAATAAACTCCCCCCCCCTCCCCACAAAGTGTCGACAAAAGTTGTTCGGGTCTTGTCACTAGTTATATTTGGAAAATTATACCGTCCCGCTAACCTGAAACTTTTTCACTCAGTTAATTTGTTGGACGTAGACTTGATTATAGTTTTTTCCTAAGACGTCATGCTTAAGAACTGTTGATAAAGTTAATTTTCTAATCTGTGTAATTTTCTTCGGTAATTTCCTTTGACAAACAAAATTCTAAATGTTTTTTTTTAAATATTTATATTAATGTTTGTTTAAAGTATTTTAAGTTAGATTCAACCTTGTTCGTATGAAATATAAATACTAATCTAGACTATTCTTAAGAATTCCATATATTCACAAATATTTCATATAATTCCATACTCTACGTAGGTGGTACATTTGAGTAAATCCTCTAGGCCTTCTGTATTTTTTATATACGTCTAATACGTTTTGTTTGTCACTGGAATGATCGCAGCTTCTTCAGGGTTAGGTGGCATTGCGAATTCGTAAAACTATGTTTTGTCTTACACTCTTTTTCCTTGAGGTATTTTTGTACTACAACACAATTAAAATTAATTTCATAAGTTCTGTTGATAAAAAAACGTTAATATTATTTGCTGGGTAAGCTGAGTAGTTAGTGTTCCTCTAATAATCAAAAGATCACTAGAGAGATTCTGAGAAAAGTAAATAGCTTTTATGTGGCTTAAAACTACTGAACTTAGCTGTGAAATGTTGAGGGTTATAATAATTCTGGATGAATAATCAGCTGATCTTATTTAGTAACAAAGTTATGCATCCTTCTTCATTTCACAATTGCCTTTCCTCATATTCGGATTGAAACCACGGATAAAACAGAAACTGTACGAATCATAAGCATAAAATTACGTCACTGGGTTGAATCTTATGCTAATAATCTTAACAGCTGTTTCGGAAGTTTCGGGCCAGTGACGTCATTTGTTTATTATGTTTATGATCCATACTGTTATAGTTCTAATATCCATGATTGAATTACGACGCCCAATTGCACCCCCTAACTCAATAATTTGTGTTGTAGTAGTGATATTTTACCATTTTATTTTCCCCTGGTACGACATAATATGAAAATCTACCTGTATACGACGATGTACGGCGGTTCATGGTTATTTATGGTGAACTACGTCTGTTTATGGTGTTGGACGGTGTATATAAAAGTAGTTTGTAAAGCTGTTATTTTTTTATGATTCGACAGAATAATTTGAATATCTAAGCCATAGCACATAGTTGACGGTGTGTTATGATTGTTCATGGTTGCCATGGTGATCTATGGTTGTTCACGGTGATGTACAGTCGCTACAGATGCTGTGGCCGCCGTTTTTGGCACTGATTACCACGACCGCGAGCATTGATTATGTATACTGTACTACAGTGTCCGCGCATGCTCGCGATGGCGTTGGCAATAAAATACTGAATTTGTCGCTAATTTATGACGTGCAATCATAGACAGAGGTGACCCGTGTCCGCCCCCCCTCCCCTCACCCCCCTTCAGTGTCCGGGTCTTCCTAGTTCAATAAAACACGGCCGAACATGGCGGCCTGTAAAGTCAACATTATTTATGCGCTCCGGTTGTGAACCGTGTAAAAATGACGCGTGCATAATGAGCTGTCCACTTTAAAAATTGGAATTCAAACGTTAGGTGTATGTTTGACAGTTTGTTACAGTGTTGTAAATTACATTGTGAAAGTTTAAAAGTTGGTGAATCGTAAAAGAACATACATTTGTTTAAGCAATACTGTGTTGAAATAAATATTGAAATTGTTAGACTTGAAATATAACAATTGATGAAGTTCGGCAGTAAACTGGGTCATTAGGTCAAACAATTTTGTATAAAACAATGAGTTTTGTATGTAAAAAGTGAACATAACGATAGTAACAAATCACAGTTGTGACAATTATAGCAAAAATGTTGTTTTAGGGTGATTAATTACTCACTTTTACTAAAATGGGTTGGATACATTTAAGCTTATAATCGTATTACTGAGAAAAGAATCTTATTACTCGACTACTCGTGCGCTCAACTGTGGCAGTATTCGTTGTAATATCATTTTTGAGGGCTTTAATGAGAATCCAGTTAGTTGTAGTGCTTTTAATTCCAGGGTGTTGTTGTTAGTCCATGTGTTTATTACGTTTTCACTGACGCAAACCTCTTGAATTACCTACATTTTTTGGCAAAACATTAATACCAACGTTTATATTTCAAACTTTACTAGTTTTCAAAGCTATATATCCCATCCTCTTTAAATACAAAACCAATGGTACAAACTTGCAAGTTCCCAGTCCCAGGTCTTGTCGCACGGCAGGTCCCGCGGTTTTTGTCAGCTGTTAATTGCAGCCTGCAACCAGCTGACCTTAGCCTACTGCCTCCTAGATTGTGTAATAGCAGTCCTCTCCTCTCCTCCCGCGTCATCACCTGGTCATACCACACCGCCTCTTGGATCGCGGAGGCCGTGGACGAGTGTCTTCATGACCACATAAATCGCATAGTTTTTTACAACGTTTTCCAAAGCACCGAGTTGGTGGGAAAACCTTTTTTTTAATTTTTTAGCAATTTTTCACAAGAATTACACATAGCACCTAATTGTCAAAGCAAGTTATCATGGTTTTGGATATAACCCCAATTTTCAATTATACGAAGCATCTTAAAACAACATTACAGCATTATTTAAATGTTTTAAATCTGTTGATTTGTTTCAATTATGGATCAAAGATGCCAAAAGAGAACAGCTAAGTGATAATATCCATTTATTTATTTACTTGTTCTGTAAAACTTTGTCAGCTGAACCGATGGTTTAAATCAAATAATTGATTTTACAAGTTACCGTTAACGTATTAATGTATTTAATCAAACTCAAAAGCATTTATAATGATAACTAGTACAAGTTAGTCTTTAGATTTCCAGTTATCAATAGCTATCCTTTCCAATAGTAGCACCTGGCTGTGCTTTAACTGTATTGTCAACCACTAGTTATAAAGTTTTAATTTGCATCCCGGTTTAGAAACTTCATTTTGTTTGTTGAAATTGTTAATTGTGCGTTTATTCGTATCTTTGTAGCTACAAAATCAATCACCGCACATGTCTGTTGAATATAAACTATCTAATTATGTAAAAGCCAACCGATAGTGTAGATGGTTCAAGATCCAAAGAAACGTTCATAACAGGTGTTTATTTAACTTTAAAAGTCTAAAATAGAACTTAAGACTATTTCTCCTTTGAAAGGCTGAATAAAAATTGCTCAGCCAGTGTTGATCAGTTTTCCTGATACTATGAAGTGGTAGTCAATCAGGCTTGGTAGAGCTATGAAAGGGCAATTATTGATCATCATGGTCTTAAACTCCTTACCAAAGCTTTATATGTCCAAGCATATATAATTCTTTATTTCATCCTACAATTGTCAATGCATAGCAAATGATTCATATATTCTTGTAGGCTTTTTTCGGTACTGTAGTTGCATCTCCCTATAGTAGGCCTAATCGAGTAAGTAATGTCCACTGCTTTAGTGGAATGTTTAATTTGCCCATTCTCGATGACCGGACAGAAATAATTATTTGGAAATAAACAAAAAATAAAGATTAAAACTACGTATTCTATCCATTTTTTCTTACCGTTCATTTCACGCTACGGAAAAAAATTGTTCTCGAAACTAGCGTCTACATCGCCCAAGTTGTTAATGCTCAATGTTTATTGGTCTACTATGATACCAAAACTTCAATTGGTCTCTTACGATATTCAGATTTTTCACTCATACTTGCAAACTAATGTACTGAGCAAATACTTATTTGATTATGATATTGTAGGCACCTGCTTGATAGAGTGGCATCTACTTAGGCACTACAATCATAGGATAAATCGAGGAAGGTTTAGCCATTTTATGAGTCAATTTCGCAACACAATGATCGCCGAAACATAGTTTACAAAATAAAAGATTCAATCTTATTTTGATAATAAAAAGGGGAGTAATGGAAAATTAAATTAAATATTCTGCAGTCACTCTTTCAAATCAGGAAGAGTAAGTGTACACAGATCTTAGAATTGTTTAGTTTCACAAACTCATTCAATAGACGTAGACTAATTGAAGGAAACCCGTTCAATGTTTATATTAGTTCAAAATGCATATCTTCCTGCTTAAGCTATTCATACGCCTATAGATTTACTTAGCATTTGCATACATTGACTACTTATTAAAACCCTTATACTTTTTACGCAAAACTATTTTTTATGACATAAGCCCAC